GTTTCAGTAAACGTGCCAGCCTGGGAACCGCAGCAGCTAGGAAGCCAGCACATGGTCACCTCTACATGCCCTGCTACTGTGGCAACCACAAAAGGTCCCACCAGAACAGGGCAAAGAACTGGTGACCTTAATAATTTACCATAGCACCAGAACTTAGTACCGAAATGTTAAAAATGTCCTCTCTCACTTCAGTTGGTTCACATTCCATGTGGAGGTCAGGGGGCTGATTTCTCACCCAGGACTTTGGAGAGTGTAATCCTCACTTTTGCCTTGTCAGTTTGGGTAACAAGTTGGGGTTTTATTAAAAAAAAAAAATATTATAAAAGCTACTCTGCCAGCTTCATGTAGATTTTTATTGACTCCTACATTTTTGCATCTCGGCTCTCCATATGTGAAAACCCAAATAACTAATCAAGATATCCCTTCTCACATCTTTTGGGATTATAAATAGGGAAACATTCAGAAGCATTAATATGAAATACCTAACAGCATAAATAACATCAATACACTTTGAATACTGTGTGCCAAATCCTATGTGGAGACTCTCATTCAACTAAGACGTGGCTAGGTTGTTGTTTAGGTTTCAGCCTTGGTGTTTGGACTTCTGTTATTCTTGGAAAGGTCTGTGAAAAGTTAACAAGAAAACCAAGTCTTTTGTCAACGGGCTGAACTCACTGCCCAGGATGCCAAACCCCACTGAAAAATATTTAGGACTTACTAAATCAGCAGTAATTTTCCACCAGTTTTAGTCTCCATGTGCAGATTCAGTGAGCTTTAGCTCATGATGTTGACTCAAGAGACTTCACTGAACTCCTTTCACTTTCCGGAGTGCATCCTATTCACAAGCCTTAGTCTGTCATATTTACCTTTGGAACTAGTTTAATTATATATTTTATATTGCCTACCATGAAAGGGATTTTCAGTGCTAAGCTGATACAGTTTTATGGATGTTGAAGGCATGGTAAGGTCTATTAGGTGTCAAGGCTATAATAACAAATTAAAACAGTGTCAAGATCAAATCCCCAGAAAATATGGACTATAATACAGTGCTTCGTATCTGTAAACTCTTCTCCCAGATGAACTGATTTTAATGCAATATGAAAGATCAGAAATAAGTGACAAGTTTACCTCTACAGAGAGAGCACAGGGTACTAATAGACCTATGGCAGTGGTCAAGCCTTCAAGAGCTTCTCCTCTCCTTGTTTATGGCACAATTTAGCCCATCCCTGAAGTAGCCAGATGTTTTTCCAAAATATCAGAACCCTTTTTTTTCCCCCAGAAGATCCTTATACCTCCTTATCTGTAATTTGTTGGTGATTTTTGATGGTTCTTTCAGAAAACCTTTCCCTAGCGTGTCAAATGGGACTCTGATTTTTTATATCTGCTTGTCTTGCTATTCACGTGCGTATCTAGTACCTTGCTCCCACTGGTTACGTTTCTGGCCAGAAGAACATAGAGGCAGTTTTATGTCAATTTTACTGGGGCTCTGGTCCCAGAAGCAGCGCACTCTTAAGCACAGAGTAGAACAACTCTACACCTGCTCCAAATTGGACTGGCTCCTAACAGCCTTTCCACAAGCCAAAGATTGCCTCAGCACACTGCAGGGACCACAAGACTAGGCTGCTGGCTCTGTTCCACCTGGCATTTCTGAGCCAGCTAGGAGAGAAGTCTTTCCAGGTGCTTAGAGATGTTGATGAATTGTAAGTGGTGGGCTGTGGGGAGGATCTTGTCCAAATGACCATTGAGCATACACATATTTAGGGGATAGGAATGAGTTCTTGTGTTACCATTTTTCAGCTTTTGCCTTGGTATCCTGGCCATCAACCTACCCTGAGCACTCAGAGTGCTGTTTTCCCATATTTCTTTTACTTGATCTTGTCCCTTTCTGCAAAGTGCCATTGTCAGAAACCATTAGCTGCAAAGCTATTATATGAAAACCTCACCAATCATCGCTTTATGAAGACTATCCGTTCCTTAAATCTTAATTGAGGAATAAATCATTGCACAGTTTAGCATTCTTCTTGTAAAGTGTACCCAGTGATGGGGGAAAAAATGGGACAAGTTTTCAACTTTTTTCTCAGGTATTTTATTAAGAGAATGTAAAAAGAGTAATAAAGCAAGGAAGGCATGAAATAGTCTGAAACTAATGAGAAATGCTTGGTTATGATTCACCTCTGCTGCAACATTAGAAACTGAGCAAAATTCAGCCCCTATATCATTGTCTGCATGTAAAGGCCAGATAAAGACCTTTTCTCTTCAAATTTCCTGTCCAAGAATATATAGTAGTATTAGAAGCTGGTAACAATTTGTTTCCCCAAAACATTAATTAAATGTTGGTAAAACTGGAAATAGATTTAGAGGTCACTTACTCATAAAACTTCTTGGGGAAGAACCCACATGGGGATATATGCACACACCAGAGTATGCTTTTTGGTTTTAACCCTTCTTCCACCACTCTCACTGGTATAAAATGTTGATTTTAATGATGTGATTACTGTGCTACATTAATCTTGATGAAGTCAGAATGAAATACAGTGTCTCCCTCACAATTAATAAGTAAACTCTTTAAAACCAACAAGAGTCAAATAGGCATCATCAACTAATGCTATGAGAGTGTTCTATAAAAATCTAAATGTCTTTGTTACATTAAGACATGGTAATAATTTTATTATTGCAACAGAAAGCTTTGCACACCAAAGCAGTTAAAATATGGATGGAAAATTAATCTGCATTTAGTAACTAAGAGCAAAATCCTGTTACAGTGGAGTGACTGCAAATTTGTATCCTTTAACTGCACTAATGTCAAAGACTTGTTGACCCTAATCCTTCTGATTTTTCTGCAAGAATACAGAACTATCTGCCTTGTACTTTTGCCACACAATCTATTGAGTACACCACCTTATTGTAGGTATTATATTTTTTATAATATTAATTTCATAGAGATGTAGACTACAGAAATACTGGGAGAAGAGAGGAGCTAAACCTAATATCTACTTATACCATTTCATGAAATTATTTTTATTACTAAGAATGTCAGTGGCAGATTTGGAAAAACTTTAATCTCCACTTAAAATAGAGGAAAAGGCAAAGAGTAGATCTTGCATGTAGAAATTCCCAAATTATAGTCCTGATGTCTACAATTACTCCTGTTCATCAAGTCATTGAGGTCCCAGGTTCCTTAATTAACTGGGATTGCTTGGCATCTAGATGCCCATCAGAGAGTGCTAATTACCCTCACTGCTGAAAATGCAGATGTGAGCACCCAGTGCTCCATCCCCACAGGGAGAAGTGCCTTGTCACCACCCACCCCGAGTCAGGCTGACACCTTTCTGTCTGACCTAACCAGAAGACAGCAACCTGATTACAACAATCCTAAATTTTGAGGTCATTTATATTTTGCAATCAAGGTTAGTCAAGCTTAATACAAGTATAGGGGAAATAAAAGCCTTTAGTTGCATTTCCCCCACTCCATGACCTCCCTCCAGCAGTCCTGCCCTGGCTGGCAGTGCCAGCGTGTCTACTATTGTCAGGAAGTTGCATTCCAGAGCATCGAGGTCCTCCCCCCCTTATTCCTATCCAGGCTTTACAGTGCAAAAAGAAAGGAGGGAGGGAGGAGGGATGCCAGCAAGAAGTTTTCTGCCAGCTTTTACTCCTGTCCGTTGATCTGCACACTGTGGAATGAAAAGCTTCTTTGACTTCCTATGACATGTGTACATAGAATGATTTATTAAAACCTATACATAGACTGAAAAACAAGTGTCCTTAGATGGGTTGCACTGCTAATTCAGCTTTGACACTAATTTATTGAATTCAGTTCGATTTCACGAGTTAGATGATGTTTTAATTCCTCAGAAGTCTCAAAAGGATGAATGACAGATAAAGAAGTGAGCAGGGTGTGCCATCCCAAATTACCTATTATCTGCAACTCTGATCCTAAAAAATTTTTGTTAGAAAAAAAGTAGCATATCTGAGAAAGAAGCACTCTTTTTTTCTTGACAGCTAGAATCTATAAGATTCCTCTCCATAATCATTAAACAAGTACCAATATCCTTCATAGCGTACAATATAATTAATAGGATTGACATCTGGTCCTTTAAGTGCATATAGTATGCAGACAACTTTGAAGCATTTTGCACTGAGGTAAAACAACTTGATTCTGAAATTTGTTCATAAACTACTATATTTAAAATCATTTGAAAGGAAAAAGTGAAGAAAAGTGACTTATCTTAATCATCTTGGCCGTTTTTTCAGTCATCATGTTATACTCCAGATAAACTGTTGTTGTGGTTTAACCTCAGTAGGTAACTGAGTACCAC